CCTGACACAGATGGCCAACTTCAGCTTTCTCACCTTCAATTCATTTCCATACTGTGTTATGATTCAGATGCCACAGTGGGACTAAACTGCAGCAAGCAGTCCTTCAAATTGTGTGAAGTTAAACGATGCCAAGAAGATTCCTATAGAAACGAGAAGTCCAAGTATTTCAGCAAACTGGTTATGGTCCTACCTCTGGACTGGGCTTGGGTGCCATGGTACCAAGTGTAGGGACACTCCCAGCAACTACTTAGACTACTGCTATAAAATGAATTTTTAGGGGTGCCTGGGTGGCTCAGTGGGTTAAGTGTCTGCCTTCGGCTCAGGTCATGATCTCAGTGTCCTGGGATCAAGACCCACATCGGGCTCCCTGCTCAGCAGGTAGCCTGCTTCTCCCTCTGCCCCTCCCCCTGCTTGTGCTTATGCTCTCTCTCTGAAATAAATAAATAAAATCTTAAAAATAAAATAAAATTAATTTTTAGTGTCCCCCCCCAAAATGTATATGATGATGCTCAATCCCCAAGGTGACAGTATTTGGAGAAGGGGCCTTTGGGAAGTAATCAGGTCGCATGATGGAGCCCTCATGATGGGACTAGCATATAAGAAGAGACTTGAGGGCGCCTGGGTGGCTCAGTCATGAAGCGTCTGCCTTTGGCTCAGGTCATGATCCCAGGGTCCTGGGATCGAGACCCACATCGGGCTCCCTGCTCAGCAGGAAGCCTGCTTCTCCCTCTCCCACTCCCCCTGCTTGTGTTCCTGCTCTCGCTATGTCTCTCTCTGTCAAAAAAATAAATAAAATCTTTAAAAAAAAAAAAAAGAAGAAGAGACTTGAGAGAGAAGCTCTCTCTCTCGGCCACTTGAGGATACAGCGGGGAGACAGCTGTCTACAAGCTAAGAAGCAGGCCCTCACCAGACAATGGATCCTCTGGTGACTTGATCTTAGACTTTCTAGCTTCCAGAAATGTAGGAAATAAATATGTGTTGTTTAAGCCACCCAGTCTATGGTGTTTTTGTTAGAGCAGCCTGAATGAACTAAGACAACTATAGGAACAATTACGGTCTTATCAAACAAAGAAAAGTAAGCACTGATATTTTTTAAAGGTTGTGTTTGTCACATCCACTATCAGCAGGAAATGATTACTATTTAGCCCTCTAGTGCAGTGAGATGCTGCCATTTTCCTAGATATTTCTGTATGATGCTGAGGGGGAGTCCTAACTATAAAATTTTAACTTGACTATATTCTGAATAAACAGGCTCATTATTTTAAGAGGCTACTTCACACACATACCATGTTTACAAGTAAGCTTCTCCTCTCCCCCAAACACTATATTCTGAGTTTCTAAGTACTTCTTGCTCAGATGATAAAAAATTTTAGTAGACAACTAGAACTTTTCCTTAGTTATCTCACTATGGAGTATGCTTTTCCTGAAGAAAAATAAAATGCTTTCCCTGCATCACATACTCAGGTTTAATAATTCTCAGAATAAGAGTAAAGACAAGAATATATATAAGTCAATTTTCACCACATCCTGAAGAAAATCAAGGGCAGCATCTTCTAATGACATACAATTCAGCCTCATGACTAGTTCTTTAAGAAAAAACATAACAGGTATAAACAATCTTTCTCTGGTTTAATAACTGTAGTGAATCTTACACTTTTGTCATTTCAGTAATACCCCCTTTATTCTGGGGACCACAACTTCTCAACATAAACCTACCAGTTGAGAAGTTCAAGGGTGCGGACCTGGCCCAAGTGGGACAGACCCGGGAAAGCTGATCTATGCCTATCTGTAGACTATCCAACATGGGATCCGTTTCCTGCTATATGGACTATGGAAGGAGAGGATCTGAGCTACATTTCCCATTTCATTTATAGTAGTTTGTGCTGGATTTCCACCACCCACAAATAAAGAATCCTAACTAATACAGAAGTTTTGTTTTGTTTTTGTTTTTTTTTACTGAGTTCTTATGTCAATGATTTATCTAACCCACTGACTTACCTCATCCAAGAATTAAATTTAGACACTGAAGTCAGGACTCATTTTCAGAATAAATTCACTCTATTCCACATAAGAACCATATATGCCTGAAGCATAATATTAAGTAAAATCATATCACTGAATATTTAATGGCTTTGTCATTCTAACATCAAAAAATTCTATTAGTGGATAAAAGACGTATGCTTGGAAATATAAACTTGTAAGTGGATGATGGCTTCATGATGGCATAATGAAATCTCACTGTAGCAAATCAGGATGCAGTCAAACTCCATGCTATTCCAATATTTAAAAGGTCTACTTCACCTTTCATTTCTTGGGGATGGCAACGTAAAACTACACTGATGCTGGTGAACAGTATCCTCATCCTAGGAACCTGAAGCGTTTGTTTTGGGACTGAGACTATCGATAGCATCCTGATAATCAGATTAGGAGCATCCAAATGCTAATAATACGTAAATCAGTTCCTAATGCAAACTGAGTTTTCAGAGTAGTATAGCCAAATGTTCCACGGTTATGATACAACTTTAGGAACTCAGATCTTAAAACTTTCAACAGGTATTCTGGATTCCTTCTGCGACGCAGGTATTTTTTTCCTGGTTATTTTGTGCTATACAAGAGTTTCTTGCTTTTTGTTTGTTTGTTTGCCTTGTTGCTTTACTCTCTTTGCACAGACTAAAGGTCCAGAAAGACATCAGTGCTGCCATGTAGGCGTTTCATCTATAGTAGAAATGCCATCTCATCGTACTTTGGGGGGTGTAGGGGGAACACTTTCCCATTTTGCCAAATAGGCTCCACTTTTTCCTGTCTGACTGGCAAGGAAAGTAAGGACATAATAAAAAAAGTTAGAATTATTAGAACAGAAAATATGGAAACTTGATTTTGAAGAGAAAAAAATTAGATTAGAATCCAAGAAGGATTTTTTTTCCTTTGACCTTCAAGAACATGAGCAGAGGCAACGTTAGGTTCAAATAAGACAACCATTCAGGCGCCTGGGTGGCTCAGTTGGTTAAGCGACTGCCTTCGGCTCAGGTCATGATCCTGGAGTCCCGGGATCGAGTCCCGCATCGGGCTCCCTGCTCGGCAGGGAGTCTGCTTCTCCCTCTGACCCTCCCCCCTCTCATGCTCTCTGTCTCTCATTCTCTCTCTCTCAAATAAATAAATAAAATCTTAAAAAAAAATAAATAAATAAGACAACCATTCAAACTGATAAGGCCCAACAAATCAAAACAAAGATACTGTAACTGTAAATTTACGGATTAAAGTGATTATATAAATAATGCACTCTTATATACTACTGAATTTGGTTTTAAATGAGCTGAAATTGAGTTTTAACTGGAATACACGGAGGTCACTGCATCTGGGAGCTAAGAGTTACCAAGGAGACTGCTTGCCACTCTAAGAGAGCATAATAATTGCCAAAACCAAATTAATTATGCTTGGTAATCACAGATCTCATATGTATATTTTCCACAACAGGAGTGTGGAGAAACTAATATAAATTGCTGACTTCCATTCTCACTTGGACTTCATAACCCTTGGATATGGAGTGGAAAACTAGTCAACTGGAAACTAAAAATGAAAGTTTAGTGAGGCACAAAAATCCCATGTTTTACTTAGGGGAAAAGAAAATAACTTCCCCACATTGAGTGGAATGTATAAAAAAAAGTGTTCCTTAATCTTTTCTATAGTCTATAGTTCATATTCCACCAGACCATACTTTTTTTTTTTTTAAAGATTTTATTTATTTATTTGAGACAGAGAGAATGAGAGAGAGAGCACATGAGAGGGGGGAGGGTCAGAGGCAGAAGCAGGCTTCCCTCGATCCAGGGACTCCAGGATCATGACCTGAGCCGAAGGCAGTCGCTTAACCAACTGAGCCACCCAGGCGCCCCACCAGACCATACTTCTAATCATTATCAAAATTAATATCTAATATTATGTGTGACTACTATAATATACAGGAAAACTTGTACAAGGTTTCTATCTTCTCTCTAGACTGTTCTAAATACCATTAACTCTCTGAACAACATCAAATTAGGAAGGCAGAAATTTTTCTTACATCAGACTAAAGCTATATAACTACAGATTGAAATATGGGGCTGAGGACAGCTAGCCATATCTTAAATTGCAACCAAAATCCTCATTTGTGATGAACCTAGGCCTCATGTTAAGACTTTCTGTTCAGAACCTGCTCCCTGGTCCACGTGGTTTCCTTTACACTAACTGTAGCCTAGTCACTTGGATTCTGCCTCTTCTGTACAAAGCATCTGTAGACCTTGCCCCAAGGTGGTTGCTTCTCCCAGCCACACCTTGCCTGCGTCACATTTTAAACAATGCCATATACACTGGTCTAAAGAGAGTCTCGACAGCCCGGCTGTGAAGGTGCCTGAGATGAACTGCTGACATAAATAAGGAAAATGAGATGCCCTTTAGCATAGTTAATATGCAATTCTACCTAAAGACAAAATGCCTATTATTATTACTTTTTTAAAGATTTTATTTATTTGACAGAGAGAGACAGCAAGAGCAGGAACACAAGCAGGGGGAGTGGGAGAGGGAGAAGCAGGCTTCCCGCTGAGCGGGGGGGCCCGATGCGGGGCTCGATCCCAGGACCCTGGGACCATGACCTGAGCCGAAGGAAAACACTTAACGACTGAGCCACCCAGGCGCCCCCAGAATGCCTATTAGATAATTTCCATAAGAGTCTTTCCTCCCAGTAAGATTACTAACAGTGACTTTCCCCCAAATTTAGTTTACTTATACTAATTTTACCTTATAAGGAAAATTCATTTTGAAATTACTTTTAGGGCTACTATTTTAGTTTTTAGATAACAAATTCAGTGAATCTTCATATAATAAATACTTTTAATAAAATCATTATCTGAAAAAGATGCTGGCAAGCCAATCATACAAATATTCAGAGTTACATAACTACTTTAAAAGCACATTTACATTTAAATAATTACATTTAAAAGCTCGTATGTGGTATCACATATTTTTACCTTGAGAAGGTATGTGGGAATATTGCTGAAATCCACTGGCAACTTCAAAAGGAAACGAGCTGAAAATTCACCAGTCTGTAGGACAAAAGGTATAATAATAAGATTAAAATAAGAAATTGATTGTGAAGTGACAATTATAGCCAAGGCCACAAGTTCAACCTGTTCAAACTGGAGGCATTTTCAATTCGGGTTTCCTAACATTAGCAAGAAAAGAAGGCTGGAAAAGCAGGGAAAGATCAGAAAGAATTCTTAAATTATTAGCTACTAAAAGCATAATTAGAACTTTTTAAATCTGCATTTTCAATGTGCAATAAAATTATAATGTCGTGTTACCTTTTTGGGTTTTTTATGTGTAAAAAGAATACATGAATGCATGATTTTTTTTTTTAATCCAAGCAATAGAGACACACCTCTCCCTTTGATTCATTTCTTTTTTACTTAAGCATTCAGACCACTAAGATTTATAACCCACAGGCGACTGACATATATCACTATCCTTTATAGTGCATCTGGAAGTACACACAAAGATCAAACTTCTGCCCAGAGAAAGCAGTCTATCAGTAGGTACCCCAAATAAGATTCTAACTTCCTAAACAATCTATTAACATCATTATCACCAACTAATATTTTTCAGTAATTCTATGAACTAGTCTCCATAGGAAAGATGTACAGAGGTTTAGAGATTTAAAACATTTAACCAAGCCTAAATAATGACTTCTACTTTTTTTTTAAAGAAAAAAAACTCATGTAAAGAAAAAAGTTTTCCTCTCAATTTATGATGATGGGAAATCATAGAGTTCCTTTTTATGATGGGCATGGCTAAGGTGTCACATTGTTTTTAAAAAAACTTTGTCACAGTGTGGAGAAGGGGCCTTCCAGTTGGGCTGTCAGACACCTAGGGGTTCCAAGGAACCTCTGCAAAGACCACAAAGTAGGGTGCTGAGCTGGTGGGGTCCTGGGTCTTCCAACCTCTCTCACTCCAAGCCTGCAGTTCAGCTTGGGATTCTGACATACTGGGTTTCATTATGACATGCTGTTTGAACAAAGAACTCTCGGGATGATCCAGAACTACTCTAAAGAGTGGATCTCTATCGGACACCTGGGTGGCTCAGTTGGTTAAGCAGCTGCCTTTGGCTCAGATCATGATCCCTGGGTCCTGGGATCGAGTCCCGCATCGGGCTCTCCGCTCAGCAGGGAGCCTGCTTCTCCTTCTGCCTGCTGCTCCCCCTGCTTGAGCTCTCTCTCTCTCCAACAAATAAATGAGTAATATCTTAAAAAAAAAAAAAAAAGAGTGGATCTCTATCATTTTTATATTTGGGGAACACTGAAGAGCTCCCAATATCTCCACTGCCTTCTCCCCTTAAAAATAAAAACAAGCACCCCAAACTCCCAAAACACATGCTTCAACACAACAAGCATTTACAAATACTTCTTTATGGATCAGTGGATGAAGGCACATAAGCTACCTACATACCTCTTACAGATGATTCCACATCAATCACCACAGCTTTCTACAAATACCCTAACAACTGGCAGCCATTTTTAAATGCTGACCTAAAACCCTGAAAATACAAACAGAAATATAAACCTTGAGCTCAAAAGATAAAATTGCTAACTACCATCTGCATGGTGGTTCGTTGTTTTACTGCTTACAACATCCTTCAACTTACATCGACCTCAGGCTAAGGACAGAGCACTTCCTCACTGCCACAAGCCCAACCCCATGACACAAAAAGCAGAAATGAGAGAACTGAATGGACAAACTCAACGCTGAGGCAAGCCAGACAGACTCACAGAAGCCACTGCACCACCAGAAATGCCAGTGGTGAGAAACAGGAGGCATCACGGGAGCTGAGCAGCTAGTCGTAGGGCACGCCAATACATGCAGGCTACTTGAAAGAATAATTAGGAGCCACCCAAGGATCTACAAACAGCTCACCATGGTGGGTGGGAGGAAGAGGTTTGTGAAAGAGCCGAATAAAATTCTTACATTCTATTACAGTCCGAGATTACTAGAAAGGTATGGTTTGGGCATTTTGTTAAGCTCCTAGAGGATTCTACAACTAACACCACCTACTGAGGGGTGATTCTTTCAACCTAAATACAGGGGCTCATATACTGAAAGACCTGAGTATAGGGACAACATAAAGCACTATAGAATGATATGGGAGCTTATGAGAGGGGCATCTAGCCCAGTAGGAATTTGGGGGGTATGGGAAGAACAGAAGAGTCTTCCTTGAGTGCTGGTACAATGCTACAGAGGAAGGAACACTCATCAAAGAAGACAAATTCCCAACCACTGTCCCCACTCTCTCTCCTATATAATCAATTTTTCCCTCTTTACCCACTCACTCCCATCAGTATGCAAACATCATTTAAAAAGTCTTTACCAAAAAGAAAAAAATGTAATAAAATAAAAAGTCTTTCTTAACTTCATACCTTTCTTCAGGTCCCATCTCATTTCTCTGTTCTACTTTACAAAACAACCTCCTGTAAAGAACTGGTCTATATTTCTTCTTTTACTATTCTCTCTGGAACCCTCTCCTGTCAGCCTCCCCCACCGCCACAACCAGGCAGCCCCAACAGCTCATCAGGGTCACCAATGACCTCCCCATGGCCAAATCCAACAGTCATTTCTCAGTGCTCATTTTAGTACTTGTTCTCTCAGCAGCGTTTTGACATAGCTGATTATTGCTCCTTTCCTGAACATTCTCCCCTTGGTTTCCAGGATCCCACCCTCTCTTGGTTTGACTTTACTTCACTAGCCCTCCCTACAGCCTCCCCAGCCTCTGCACGCTGGAGCACACCACCACAGCTCAGCCTCAAGACCTCTCTCCTTTCCTGACACTTCAGGTGACCTCATCTAGGCTCAAGACTTCCAATACCATTTATATGCTGATGATTCCCAAATGTTCTATCTCTGCCCAGACCTCTCCCTAACTTGTTTCATTTATCCAACTATCATGAATGAAACCAAACTCCTGATTCCCTTCCTTTGATATTTAGTCTTCATTTTAGTAAATGGTAATCCCATTTTTCAATCCTTCAGGCCAAAAACCTCAGAAGCATCCTTGACTCCTCTCTTTCTTGCTCATCCTACATTCAAAGTGGCAGAAAATCCTGTTGATTCTACCTTCAAAATAGATCCTTAGTCCAACCACTTCTCACCACAGCACAACCGCCTGATCTGAGCCACGGCCATCTTCAGCCTAGCTCACTGCAATCACACCCAACTGCTTCAGCCACTGTTCCTCTGGAAGCTTGTTCTGGTCTCCGTAGGCACAGCAATGCTTTCAATACATTAGTCAGATCATGATCCTCCTTTGCTCAAACCTCTCAAATGGTAGAGTTTAGCTCCTTTAGAGAATAATCTGATAAGGCAAATTGAGCAGAGATGTGAAAGAGGTGAGGAAGAAAATCATGTGGAATGTGGAGGAGAAACATCCCAGGCAAAGAGAACAGAAAGTATAAAAAGGGTTGATGCAGGTGCAGGCCAAAATGTTCAAGAAAGAGCAAGGACGTCAGTGTTACTGGATCAAATAAGCACTAACACCGATCAGAGGTCACCCCGAAATTCTCTTTTTCTAACTGCTGTAGGATGTGCAACAATCACTCATAACATTAGTAAACACTGAAATGACGACTGCATCTACACGGAATATTTGTTAAGTCATTCCTGGGGATATTGAGAGAGGTTTTTTACAAGTACCAAGGGGTTAGAAGATATTGCAGAAGGGAGTTGGTTGGACAGACAATAATAAATCAAGCTCAATTCATCTTCATTTTTAATTTGGAGACTCAAACCATCTACAATCAATGAACAGCCATTTCTACCTACTGGGATACAATGTCAATCGGTGAGTTAAAATGGCAGTCTCAAAACTTTCACACTGTTAGACTCAATGGCTCTTCTACATTTTTTTTTTTTTTTGAAAACAATGAAAGGAGTAAAATGTAGGATTTAAAAATTAAAACAAGTCTTGTACATATAAGGTAATGGGAAATATAATTACATATTTAGCACTTGGACTCATGTGAACTGCTAGTTATTTTAGTCCATGTACTACATTTTAGCTCTTTTGCCCTATTTTAGTTTGTACAATATATTTTTATTCTACCAGCTATTTTAGACCAACATTCCTTTAAAAACGCTTAGACCATCCCTACTTTATCCCCTCTCAAAATGTTGATCCTAGAACTAATATAAATTTATGTTTATTGGCAAAAGACTGATTTCCACAACTAAATTCATAATAAAAGGCAAGTTGATCCAAGGACTAAGAGGAGTTTGTGTTTATCAGCAATGGACTGATTTACACAACTAATGTCATAATATGAGAAACTTAAGGCTGTGAAAGGAATTCGGTGCTCTGGAAACCACAGAAAGTGCTTTTTGATCTCCAACTTTCCAGCTGACTATACATTCTTTATCTTGCCACAAGAGAATAAAGAAAACTTAGCACTTATTTCTAACTTAGAAACATTGGAAACTACAACTTAAGAATTCAGTTTTCAGTTCTGCTGCTGATTTTCCCCGTGACCTGGAAGTAATCTCCTTGTGTGTAACTAAGTAAATGCTGATTTAAAACATGTCTTAATATAAAACTTAAGCTATAAATTACATAAGGAACAAAACATAAGTGAAAAATCCGTTCTGAGTTCTACCTCAGATGACTTTTTCTGTGTTTTTATATTCGAAGTTCCAACAGTTATTTAAGCAATTTACGGTCACTCTGTTGCAACGTCAAAGATTGCTTCCATACCAATCTTTCCTGTAAGCTGAAAATGAGACATTTAGATGCAGCCAAGTGAACAGAATAATTTGATTTTTTTGTCAGTCCTTGGTCAAATCTTCTCTTGGATAGATGTAGAAAATTATCTGACCTATGACTGCTAAAATGTCAGCCGTTCTGCCAGCTGCCTTAATGGCAATTTCCCCAGCTTAGCAATAAATATGTGCATCCTTCCTTTTTTTCAAGTTACAGTACATTGGCAAGTAACTTAAACTAACAAGACTCTGAGTTTTGGCAATTTATTAGGTCTGAGCTTTTCTTCTGCTAATAGCAGCTGTGTCA